TTTGGGTGTTTGTGTTTTGCTGCTTCAATACCTCAGGGAAGAAATAAAATGGAACCTAGAGCAAGAAAGGCCATCTTCTTGGGGTACCCAGCTGATAAGAAAGGGTACATGCTTTATGATCTTGCTGACAAACTTATTTTTGTTTCCAGAGATGTGAAGTTTTATGAGCAGGCTTTCCCCTTCAAAAACCAAGAAGGTCCACATGCAGCCACTCCTGCAAATGAGCTCTACAATTCTACTTTACCCATTATTCCTGTTTCCATTAAGGAACAAGCAATGCCACCTTCTCTGGAACACACAAGAAGTATAGATGATGGTTTGATGACAGAAAGTGCCCATTCTCCTGATTACAGAGGCAGAAATAGCCCTGAGAGAAGCATTGAGAGAGATGCAGACTCAGATGCCTTGCTTTCCAGTGGTGTGGGTGAATCCAATGATAAGGAGGCCTCAGTTTCCACCAACAACACTCAATCCCCAGAGAGCCATGATAGTCAACAGCAGCCAAAAAGATCTACAAGGTCCAGGGCTGTGTCTCACAGACTCAATGATTACTATTGCCAGTTGATGATAGGAGAAAGAACTGGTAAAAGATGTTCCCCACATCCTATAGAGAATTTCATTACTCATGAGAATTTGTCCCCCATGCATAAGGCATGTATCTTATCTGTTACATATATTAGTGAGCCACAGTCCTATCATGAAGCCATCCAAAGTGATGAATGGAAGAAAGCTATGCAGGCAGAAATAGATGCTTTGAATCAGACAAACACTTGGGTTTTGACTGAGCTACCCAAAGGAAAAACAGCTATAGGGTGTAGGTGGGTGTACAAGGTAAAGCTTAGAGCAGATGGGACAGTGGAAATGTTTAAAGCCAGGTTAGTGGCAAAAGGCTATACACAGCAGCTGGGGGTAAACTACATGGAAACATTTTCCCCAGTGGCTAGGATGACTACCATCAAGACCTTTTTGGCCATAGCAGTTGCCAAGGGGTGGGATATTCAGCAGCTTGATATAAACAATGCCTTCTTGCATGGTGATTTGGATGAGGAAGTTTACATGAGTTTGCCTCCAGGACTCAAAGATACTAAGCCTAATCAGGTTTGTAAGTTGTTGAAATCTCTGTATGGTTTAAGGCAGGCTAGTAGACAGTGGAACTCCAAACTTACAAAGTCTTTGCAAGCTGATGGTTTCAGACAATCCCTGGCTGATCCTTCACTATTTACTAAGTGCTGCAATAATACCTTCACTGCTCTACTTGTGTATGTAGATGACATACTAGTAGCAGGTACACATTCTGCTGAGATAAGAAGGATTAAGGACATGCTAAATACTCTATACAAGATAAAGGATCTTGGAAGTCTTAATTACTTCTTGGGGATTGAGGCTATTAGAACTCACAGTGAGATCAACCTTTGCCAAAGAAAGTACACTTTGGAAATATTAAAAGAGAATGGCTTTCTAGATGCAAAGCCAACAAAAACTCCTTGTACACCAGGATCAAAGCTCACAAGTACTGAAGGGGATATGATTGATAATCCAGAAACCTATAGAAGGTTAGTTGGAAAGCTGTTATACCTCACAAATACCAGACCTGATATATCTTATTCTGTGCAGCAGCTTAGTCAGTATGTGGATAAACCAAGAAACACTCATTTGATTGCAGCACATAGAGTGCTAAGATACCTGAAAGGTGCTCCTGGAAAGGGACTACATTATTCCTCTAATTCAGAACTAAAATTACAGAGTTTCAGTGATTCAGATTGGGGCACTTGTGCTGAAACAAGAAAGTCAATTACAGGTTTCTGTGTTTTCCTTGGGGACTCTCTCATTTCTTGGAAGACAAAGAAACAGGCTACCATATCAAGGTCATCTTCAGAAGCTGAATATAGGGCCTTAGCCACAACTGTGTGTGAAATTCAGTGGTTACTCTACCTCTTAGCAGATTTGGGAGTCAAAAGGAACACAGCCATACCCTTATTTTGTGATAATAAATCTGCAGTGGCCATTGGGGAGAATAATGTCTTCCATGAACGCACCAAACATATTGAAATTGATTGCCATGTTGTTAGGCAAAAGGTACAAGAAGGAATGGTTAAATTGATGCATATTCCTTCTCATAAACAGATTGCTGATGGCCTCACTAAGGCTCTTCCAATCACTCTCTTTGAAGTTTTCCATTCTAAGCTGGGACTTCAAGACCTTCACTCTCCAGCTTAAGGGGGGGGGCGGGGGGGGGGGTGATGAAGCATAGCTTGGATTGGCAGCTATAGAAGCAGCAGTTGGAGCTTAGCAGTTAGTCCTCTAATAGTCATCAGGGGCTTTTCTGTCTTTTCACCAAGTTAGTTAGCAAGGCTGTTAAGTTTGTTAACTACTGTTGAGGCTTAGTACTTAAGCCTTGTTTTTCCCGTTTCTTGTAATAATCTTTCTTCTTCTTTCATTCTCCCAGAACGCAATGTATTCCAATAAACAGAGAGAACACTTTTCTTCTTTGTGATGAATAGAATCCAATCTTCTTCCTTTCCAGTGTAATTCCAGTGTGTTCATCAAGTTGGTATGATTCTTCAGTTTAGAAGAAACATGAAAAGTTAAAAGCTTAAAATCAAAATGGTTTATTCTCCAAAGTTGATGTTCTCTGAATGGAGGAGGTTTATTCTCTAAAGTTGATGATGTCTCAAATGGAGGAGGTTGAATTTTTATTTTAAGAAGTCCTCACTGCTAATAAGTTCAACATGATGATTGAAATTCTTGGTTGTAGAATTTGCAGGATATAAATATTTATTGATTAGGAACCTATTAAGTGGGTTCCGGTTATAATCAATTAAATATTTTATTTCACCAGTTCATTAATAGGATATTAAAATTATATCTATCATCATGTTCAGTTGGCTAAGTGGATGAGATTAAAAGGAATTTTGATATACTTGAGTAAAACCATTAATTATGGTTTAGTATATTTATTAGAAATTTTCATCCTGAAAAGATATTCTAATGCCAGTTGAATGTGTAATCATGAAACTTGTTTGTCATTTAGTAGATGGATATTTCTACTTGGAGAAGGTGTTGTTTTATGGGTTCTAAAAGCAAAGTTGCTTTTTCAACTACGGCATCTGAATTTCTTGTGTTGGCTTTGACATGAAAGAATTTTATTGGCTAAGGAATTTAATTATTTAGATTCCGGTTTGGCCAAAACCGATGTCACCAGTTTAGTACATTATGACAATGCTACTACACTGGCCATATCATATAAACAAGTGTTTATAATGGCAACTGAAGGCACATGGGCTTGAGATTTAGCTATGTGGAAAATCCTATGTAATAGTGTTGTAGCACTGGACTTGGTACAGTCCCGGTTTTAACGGATCCGTTTGCAAGAGTCCTTGCAAAGGACATGGTTCATCGGAAGGGATACGGAAAGCCTAAATTAAAATTGCAAGTGAAGGAAAGCTCAACTCACGTCTAAGTTATTACGTTAGACCTTGAGTTCAATGTAGATGAGTACTTCATTTTGTGATTTGCAAGCATCAAAATTTTAATTAAAATTGTATCCAAAGAAAAGGTGATGCTTGGTTCTGCATTGTTGTAGGGATGAGTTTTTACTCTTAACTGATCTTTTGTAAAAATGCAAGATGCAGTGCATGAGATAAAAGATTAGCCTCTGTGAGCATGAAGTGTGGCAGCTTCAAACAAGTTTGGGCTTTACTTGGTATGAGCTCATTAAAGGATACGGACACATGGCCATAATAGTGTCAAGTTACAGTGAGTTGTAATGACTGTAAAACTTGTGTTTGTTATATCTACGTTTCTTCAAAGAGACTGTGTGATTCAAGGTTCGTCCATCACTGCAATCCGAATTAATGTAACACATATAATATTATGTGAAAGTTCAATCTCTAAGACACTTTCATTTATGCATGAGTTTTGGATTTATCTTGGTAAAGTATTAGTCTTTACTATATAAATGGAGGAGGAATGTAGGAAATTTATATAGTAATGGAGATTAATGTTTCAGATGAACTACCATGAAAGCTTAAATAATATTTGGAGTTGTGGAGTTGTAAATATTATTTTAGTTTGGTAGAAAGTTAATTAAAATACCGGGAGAAATGCATATAGCTAATATGTTTGAGAGTATATAGCTATATGCTTGTGATATATAGCTAATACGCTTGAGAGTTATAGCTAATATGCTTGAGAGTATTAATGCATGTTTGGATATGTTCATGCGTAAGGTTTTGGGGCATTTTGAAGCTATATGCTTCAAAACTACACTTAACGTGCTTGGAATATGCACTTAACGTGCTTGGAATATGCTCTTCTATTTATGCATTTTGAAGCTCTATGCTTCAAAGTTACACTTAACATGCTTGGTATATGTAGTTGTATGCTTGAGATTATTGAACTACATATATGGATATTATTTATATTTATTCTTTGCATGTTTTCATGCGTAAGGAATATATAAATATATATATATATATATATATATATATATATATATATATATATATATATATATATAATTTTGCATACAGTTACTGACTCAAAATAATTTTATTATTTCTCCAGTGATAGATATATCAATCAGGATATATCTTATCTTATGGAAGTTGAGTTTTAAATCACAACAACTTCCATGTAACTTCTCCAAACATATATATTTTTCATCTATAAATATATTGGAGAAACATCTGATAGGGACAGGCAATTTACATGCATATTTTACAAGCAATTATTTTGCAGGAAACCAAGATACTTCACAGGCTTACATCTCTACAGGGAATTCTCAAACAAAGCAACTTGAGAATTTCATTCATCTTTTTGTATCCCATAAGATTAAATCTTGAACCTTGTTGCTTTTATAGAGGGAGATTTAAAGCTTATAGGAAAGTGATTACACACCTGAAGATATCAAATGATCCAGTTTTTGTTCCCTGTTGTATTCTGTATTATTGTTGTATCTCAAATGTATTACAGATTACAAGCACTTTTTCCAACAAAAGGTTGGCTGAGCTTACAAATTGCAGTGCTTTAATTTGAGGATTCATTTGATTGAAAAGTGGTTAGTTGCAGGTTAGTTATGTTCCACTGATCTCTACCACTTTCTGTGTCTCTCTCATGATTAGATGGAAATAATGCTTTTGGTATTAATTAACTCTTATATGGAATGCCATAGTATAATGCAGGCATGCATGTTATGAGTGAAGGCCAGGTGACACTGTCAAGATTTTGCTTTGCTTCAAGTATGTAAAACATTTGTCTGTTGCATTATTCCAATGTTTTCGAGGCATGGATTTGTTGATATGTTTTCGATGGACTTTCATTTTGGTCACAGCAGGCCATCGATCGGAGTTGATTGGTATCAGTACCTGCAGAAAGCAAAGCCAATACAGTGGTGCCTCAGCTCAGGTTGGGTTGGAGATATATGAATGTAGTTGATAAACATTATTTTTGTTGCTATTTTAAATAACTTTTTATAGTTAATTTGCAATAATTATTTAATTTTATATTTATTTTTATTTATTATTGTTATTATTAGTAGCTTTGATAGTTATTCAATTTTAGGTTGTTTTAATTATTAAATTTGTCTATTATTTGAATTTTGTCAGTTTAATAATTCATTGATTCTAATTTAATTATAATATCATTAATTTTAGTAGTGCTTGTTCAGTAGGAGTTTAATAAAGATAGATTAGTTATATATGATATCTAATAAGTTTATTATTATTATTATTATTATTATTATTATTATTATTATTATTATTATTATTATTATTATTATTATTATTATTATTATTATTAAGAAATTAAAGAAGGAGAGACACAACTTGGTCAGTAAACGCAAATCAAAATCGGACGGCATAGCAGCAAAGTCTTCCAACAAATCTAGTCTTTTGGGAGATTCGATTGTAGCAGCGGAGAAGAAGAACAAGTATGGAAGATTATAGTTCCCTGTGTTAGGAACATTGTATTAGGATTTTGATGATACCAATGTAATGTAGAAAGTAGAACCCTAACCTTTAGTTCTTTTTAATCGCTGCTTTCGTCCTAGACGAGAGTTGTCATAACTCCTTTGTAATTCGTGTTAAGCTAGACAAACACACGAAAATGAGTTATGACTAGATGTTAGGGTCTCCAAGGCGAAAGAAGACACGAGACATGAAGAACAACGAAAGTCAAGCAGGAGTTGTCAACAAGCATGAAAGGACAGTTTTTGTTAAAGACGATCTTTATCAAGCATCACTTCTCTTCAACAACGAGAAGAATGTTTCACCTGTCTGATTTGACAACATCCTAGGACAATAAGGACTTCATCGTATGGGACACACTTTTCAAAGGCATTAAATGAAGATGTACCATCTCCTGGAGCTAAAAGACAAATTCTAATGCTTTCCATACCTTCAACGGCTACATGGTACAACCTCATTAATGGAGCATTTAATGCATGAAGCTCCCCGGTCCTTGTCCAATGGTTAAAGGGTTTGAAAATTTCATCTCCCTCCAACGGATGAATTTTCATCACCTATAAAAACCCACCTTCATCAGCTAAGAAGGTGCTGGTTCATTATCACTCGACTTACTCACTTACAAAAGCTCTTGAAAAGTCTACAATTCACTAAAAGCTTTTGTGAACCAGTTTTGAGGTGCTAAGTTACTTGAAGAATCATTTGTCTAACACCTCAAGGAAGTCTTGATATCAATTGAAGCAATCATATCTCAGAGTCAAAACCTCATCGTTGGAGAATACAAGAAATCATTTTCTACCAACCTCAACTCAGGAGAAGAAGTTGATAGAGGCGGAGTAAACTCGAGGAGTTGAAAAACCTACGAAGGCTGTCCGGCTTAGTGATCAAGGAAGTCTTTGTGTACTTGTACTAAGAGTGATAGTGCAATCCTTCCAACAGTTGTGGAAGAAGAGTGGAGTAGGCAACATTGGCTAAACCACTATAAAATCTCGTGTCCCCTCTAACTCTTTACTTACGCTTTTCTTTTTGCATTCATATCATTCCTTTATCATCTTTACCGAAAGTTTGTCTAATTACACAAACTCGTGCAAAGTATCTAAAACAAATCTATCTTATCCGCTGCGCCAAGACACCGAAAGGTGACGCTTAGGGCTTCTAACGAAAAGAGTCTATTCACCCCCCCCCCCCCCCTCTAGACTCTCATCTCATTCTATCGGGACCAACACCCTGCAATTCTGTCTATCAACAAGGCCTTCCCAACAATTTAATTTGATTGCAAATTATATAATGAATCAAGGTCTACTTTGCATTATTGTAAATTAAATTTTCAAAAGTGCAGTGAAAAATTTCAAACATAAAAAATGTCATTTTTCTTTTATTATTATTATTATTATTATTATTATTATTATTATTATTCATTGAAACAATAAGAATTCACTATTAATAAAAATAAACCTCCATTTTAACTTCCTAAAAACAATCATATACTATTAAGGTTTGCCTAATATTGTAAAATAGTGTAATACAATTCTTAATAGAATATATTATTTTCTACTTTTTTATTCGTACTACAATTCGACGTTACAATTCATATTCGTAATACAATACAACAATATTTGTACTGAATAAATAAGATTTGTATAATAAGCCAACAACAAATACAACATGGTTAAAGAATAAAAACAAAATGGGTAACCAAAAGTTATACATTCTTAACTCACATCTTAAGTAAAAACTCTTGTGAAGCAAAAGATACAAATCAAAAATAAAAATACCCACTATGCCCCTTAAGCCATTGGTTTAAAAAAAAAAAAAAAAAAAAAAAAAAAAAAAAAAAAAAAAAAAAAAAAACCTTGTTTGTGACATGCTTTTAACTGTAAGGGAGAAGTTGAACTATTGAACCACTCTTTTCTTTAAATAATGAGTAAAAATGTCACATAAATAAAAAGAGAAAAAAAAGTCAAAATTAAGAGATTGTGTACCATTATTGGTATGATTAATGGTGGATAGGGGGAGTCAAGGAAAAGGACGTAATGTAACATATCACATGGATGCTCCTGTTACCCTTCGCACCCGATCTTTTATATATATATATATATATATATATATATATATATATATATATATATATATATATATATATATATATATATATGGAGGGGTTCAAGTGAAAAAGAAGTCGCAGGTGAAACGTGCTAGTGTATCTCAGCCATTCATCAACTCATCTTAAAAAAAAAAAAAAAATTCGCCACATACGAGCCAAAACAATGTGCACTGCAAAGAGGAACAATATGCACTAGAAGGAGGTACAATGTGCACTGGAGGCATAACAATGTGCACTGGAAGACAAAAATTGTGCACTGTAAAGCACAAAAATATGCAACAACTATTGAAAAGACTAAATTTGATACATGATCTTCAACAGTACAAATCATAAAAGATCACAATATTCGACTAAAATTAGTAATTAATGAGTCATTCAAGATCAAATGCTCTTTATATATATATATATATATATATATATATATATATATATATATATATATATATATAGTGAAAGGTTCCCGTGCGGATGTGCGGTGGATTAATGTGCGTGAGATTTGTACTCAATGTGCGTGACTGTTGTGCTTAATGTGCCTGAGATTTGTACTTAATGTGCGTGAATGTGTAAAATGCAGCAGAAAATATTGATGTCAGCTTCTTCCCCATCCCCAGTAGTCATTTGCCCCCTCCCTGATGATGATGATGCGGAGGCGAACTATGGTGGTTAAAAATTATGAGAATAATACAACAGAAATCCACACTTAGCTGTTGTGCAAATTTTACTGTGCGTGCGTCATTTATATAAACATTCAACTGCACTGAAGGTAGCTGATAATCCAGAATCAATGGCCAAATTGAAGGAAGAAGTAACAAGAAGCTTGGGCGTTAATGTGCGTGAGTTTCTGTTCTGCTTCCTTCTGAGCTCGTAATTCTGAAATACGCACGCACATTAAGCACAAATCTCACGCACATTAAACACAATACTCAGGCACATTAAGTACAAAACTCACGCATATTAACATGACGCACATTAAGTACAATTCTCAGGCACATTGAGTACAAATCTCACGCACATTAAGTATAAACCTCACGCACATTAATCCACCGCACATCCGCACGGGAAGTAACAAATGCACCTGATCCCTTCCCTATATATATATATATATATATATATATATATATATATATATATATATATATATATATATATATATATATATATATATATATATAACACATACGATCTTAAAGGTTGAAGGCACAATATTGTGCACTGTAAGGCACAACAATGTGCATTGAAATTCTAGAAAGGCAAAAATGTGAATGGTATGGTTTAAAGGTTGAAGGTACAACAATATGCACTTTAAGGCACAACCATGTGCTCTGGATGAAGGGACAATGTGCACTGAAAGGCCTAGACATACACACATACATACATACATACAAACATACATATATACATACATACATACATACATACATACATATATATATATATATATATATATATATATATATATATATATATTTAATTTGCAATTTTTTCATGTTTTGTTTCATAGGTGTTTTCGCCATTCTTGTTTTCCTTGTTGGGCTACATAGGTTGCATCAAATGAGTTGTTCTACAAGAAGGCCGGCCATAATTATTCTCAAACACTACATTACATAAAAATACAAAATTTGACAGCGTAGGCATCGTTCTGCTCACCTGTTCCCCTAACTCTTTTAAATTAATGTTACCAGGCAAGCTGCTAGCAATTCAATACAGAATATAGTGTACTCAATTTCAGGTATGGCTTTTTCATCAACTGCTCATTGGATGTATGATGTTTTCTTGAGTTTTAGAGGGGAGACACGAAAATCTTTTGTTGATCATCTCTATACAGATTTGTGTCAAGTTGGAGTTAACACATTTCTGGATGATGAAGGAATCTCGAAAGGTGAAAACATTTCTGTTGAGCTGCTGAAGGCCATCGAAGGATCTAAGATATCCATCATTGTATTCTCCAAAACTTATGCCCAATCTAGATGGTGTCTTGATGAACTGGTGAAGATCTTGGAATGTAAACAAAATTTGAACCAAATGGTTCTTCCTATATTCTACGATGTTGATCCTTCAGAGGTCCGCAATCAGACAGGAAGGTTTGGTGATGCTTTGAATCAACATAGCAAACGATTTGGGGATCAAAAAGTAAATGAGTGGAAAGTTGCACTCAATGTGGCTGCTAATTTGTCTGGATGGGATTTACAAACCATGACAAATGGGTAATCCTATCTCATTTCAACTTCCTTTTATTTTATATATTATAGGAGTTTTGCTAATTATATTTTTACTTGAATCTATACATTTTTACCCATGGATTCAAATTTATTGATCGAAAATCATAGTT